TTCTATGATACCATATAACTTATTTATTTAGTTGGTTAGTTTACTGTGGGTCACAGCCTACCATTTCTCCATCCGCCATCCAACTGTCAGCTCCAGGCCGGGCATAGTAGCTCATGTCTATAATCCTGGCACTTTGGGAGGCTGAGGAGGGCGGATCATCTGAGGTTAGGAGTTTGAGACCAGCCTGGCCAACATAGTGAAATCCCATCTCTACTAAAAATAAAAAAATTAGCCAGTTGTGGTGGTGCACACCTGTAATCCCAGCTAGTCAGGAGGCTGAGGCGGGGAAAGTTGCTTGAACCCAGGAGGTGGAGGTTGCAGTGAGCTGAGATCGCCACTGCACTCCAGCCTGGGCGACAGAGCAAGGCATCGTCTCACAAAATAAAAATGAAAATAAAATAAAATAAAATAAATAAATGTCAGCTCCAGAAGATAGTGTTTTTTCTGATTTATTTACTGTTGTATCTCTAGCACCCATAGCAGAGTCTAGTCCTTAGGTCTATGAGTATTTGTTGAAGAAGAGAAGAAGACATCTTTAAAAAGAACATTATATACTGTTTTAAGTGAATGTGCATGGATGCAGTGATATAATCATAGCTCACTGCAGCCTCAAACTCCTGGGCTCAAGAGAGCCTCCTACCTCAGCCTTCTGAGTACTAGGACTAAAGAAACATGCCAACACACCTGGCTAATTTTTAAATTTTGTTTAGAGATAGAGTCTTGCTATGTTGTCCAGGCTGGCCTTGAGCTCCTTGCTATTAGCGATTCTCCCACCTTGGTCTTCCAAAGTGCTGGGATTGTGAGCCACTGTGTCCAGCTGGTGAATACATTTTTAAACCTCAGTTAAAGAGATAATTTACTGGGCAAAAGATTGAATGGCTATATGAAAGAAATCTGAAAAGCCCCATCACTGGATAGAAATAAAGCAAAGTTATCAAAATTATTTCTTTCTTTCTTTCTATTTTTTTCTTTGTTTTGTTTTTTGAAGACAGAGTCTCACTCTGTTGCCCAAGCTGGAACGCAGTGATGCAATCTCAGCTCACTGCAACCTCTGCCTCCCAGGTTCAAGTGAGTCTCCTGCCTCGGCCTCCCAAGTAGCTGGGATTATAGTCACATGCCACCATGCCCAGCTAATTTATTTATTTATTTATTTTGAATTGTTAGTAGAGATGAGGTTTTGCCATGTTGGCCAGGCTGGTCTCGAACTCCTGATCTCCACCCGCCTCATTCCACCTGTCTCGGCCTCCCAGAATGCTGTGATTACAGGCGTGAACCACTGTGCTTGGCCCAATAATACTTTGAGACTTTTAGAGTCAGATATACAATTTAGGACAATGAAAAAGATCAGAATTATCCAATTAATTCTGTAGCAGCTAGACCACAGAATACTTGTATGGCCTTGATCATGTCTTTGATCTTTTCTGAGCTGCTTTTTCCTTCTCTAGAAAATAAAATGTGAATACTGATCTTACAGGAGTGTTGTGATTATAGATTAGGATCTATAAAGCCTAGCATAGTTTCTGGAAAATAGCACTCAGTAAATGATAGGAATTATTATGATAATGATACTGTTTCCAGACAAAATTAGCACACATGAAAGAAAACTTTATCCCAAATTAGTTTATCAATATAGAGTAGAAGAATTTAAATAAAATACAAGCAAATAAGCTTATTAATAGAATAATCTATCAAAAGAGTTTATCTCAATCATGCATGAAGGTTAGATATATGAAAATCAGGCCAGGTGCAGTGTCTTACATCTGTAATCCCAGCACTTTGGGAGCATAAGGCAGGAGGATTGCTAGAGGCCAAGAGTTCAAGACCAGCTTGAGCAATATAGCAAGACCCTATCTATAAAATAAAAAACTAGCTGCGTGTGGTGCCACGTCTGTGCAGTCCTAGCTCCTTAGGAGGCTGGGGCAGGAGGACTGCTTGAGTTCAGATGAAGACTGCAGTGATTTATGATCACACCACTGTACTCCCGCCTGGGTGACAGAGCAAGACCCTGACTCAAAAAAAAGAAAATTAATTCTATAAACTATGTCAATAGGATGAATAAGGCAATCACATGCTTATCTTAATAGTCATTTAGTAAAATCTAGTAAAACTCATTGCCTGTTTTTAACTAAAGCACTTGAACCTATGATGAAAAGCTTCTGTATTAAATAGCCAACTATGTATTTAGAGAAACACTAAAAGTATGTTCAATTAAAATAAGAAAAAGAGAATGCCTGTTACTATCATTGTAATACAATATTGCTTTTGTCCCAACTAGAAATTCATAACATTCCCAAAATAAAACAATAATAAAAGTTGTTTGGATTGGTAAAAGAGCACACAAAACAGTACATATTGGAAAGAATGAGATGAAAATCATTAGTTGCAGAGGGTATGATTTTATGGTGTGTGCCTGTAATCCCAGCTTCTTGGGAGGCTGAGGCAGGAGAATTGTGTGAACCCGGGAGGCAGAAGTTATGGTGAGCCGAGATCGCGCCATTGCACTCCAGCCCAGGCAACAGTGCAAGATTCTGTCTAAAAAACATCAAGAGAAATTACAGAAAAGCTACTAATATGAATATAAATGTATCAAATTGGTTAGATATAGGACAAACAGAAAATTCAATAGCAACCTTATATATGAGCTATATCTAGTTAAAATTTATTCAATATATGTTCCATTTGTATATATTTGCTGTAATTTTTCTTAAACTTATTAGCTTTGAATTGTATACTTCATCTATGTGAGCAGTTATGAGATTTCTGCAAAAACTTACAAATAAAGATAATAAGATTATCCTATGGGAGTTAAACTGTAAAATTACTTACCGAATGGATCAGAACAGAGGCATGTAAAGCACCTTAAAGAAACTATTTCTCAGGCCTAAAATTTAATTTTAATCTGATAGAATATATTCATGTATTTGTGTCAGATTTCCAAGATAATCCACAGGTTCAGTGATTTCCTGGGAAGATTCACAGGACTCAGTATATATTCATACTCACTGCTATGATTTAGTATAGTAAAAGGATATAGAGCAAAATCAACAAAAGGAAACAATATGTGAGGTGAGTTTGGAGAAAACCAGGGGCAAACTTCCAGGGGCCCTCTTCCAGCGGAGTCACACAGGATACACTTAATTACCCAACCAATGAGTTGTGACAACACAGATTAAATATTATCTACCAGGGGAGCTCATTAGGAACTCAGTAACCAAGGTTTTTATTGGGAACTGATCTTGTGGGCCTGGCTTTTACCAAAATGCTAGACTCCCAGAAAGAAAGCAGGTGTTAAGTATAAACCACCTTGTTTGCACAGTCTAGGCAGAGTGAGCCACTCTTCATCAGTTTTGCTAATGGTAGGAACTCTCACGAAAACTAAGTTCCCAGAAGCCAGCCAAGGGCCAACCAATAAGCAGAACTTTCAAAGGATGGCAATCTGGCTTTCTATGCTAACTCTTCCTACAGAGTATTATTTGAAAAAAAAAAAAAAAAAAAAAAAAAAAAAAAAAAAAAAAAAAGTAAGGAGAGAAGTTGGTTAGCAAGGAGTACAAAGATAACGGAGACCTTGAGAAATAAATAACAGCAGTGTCCACTTTAGCACTATCCAAGATGAAAATCGGCATGGCAGAAAATGCCTCAATCTTCCTTATCAAAAGAATCATTCTGTTTACTCCCTTTGTTTGGATTATAAGATATTTCTAATTTATCTTAATTATTTGCTTAATACTTTTAGTACTGGTATTACATTCATAAAGTCACAGAATCAAAAATTTCAAGAAGGCATATTGTGAAATCTTTTTCTCCCACCTAGTCCCCATGCACTAAGTTCCTATCTCTTCCTATAGGTAATCATTGTTACCTGTTTCTTATCCTTTTAGAAAAAAATTGTAAATGGACATACAAACCAAAACAAAAAGTCATTTTTTTTAAAGACATAGTCTTGCTCTATTGCCCAGGCTAGGATACAGTGGCATGATCTTGGCTCACTGCAATCTCCGCCTCCCAGGTTCCAGCAATTCTCCTGCCTCAGCCTCCCGAGTAGCTGGATTACAAGCACACAACACCACGCCCAGCTGATTTTTGTGTTTTTAGTAGAGACAGGGTTTTGCAATGTTGGCCAGGATGGTTTCGATCTCTTGACCTCGTGATCCGCCTGTCTTGGCCTCCCAAAGCGCTGGAATTACAGGCGTGAGCCACCGCGCCCGGGAGAATTTTATTTTTCTTGTTGCTTTACCACAGAGCTTATTATTTTACTTCCCTTGTACATAAATTTCTGCCGGGCGCGGTGGCTCATGCCTGTAATTCCAGCGCTTTGGGAGGCCAAGACAGGCGGATCACCAGGTCAAGAGATCGAAACCATCCTGGCCAACATTGCAAAACCCTGTCTCTACTAAAAACACAAAAATTAGCTGGGTGTGGTGTTGTGTGCTTGTAATCCCAGCCACATATTTTACTTCCCTTATACATATATCAGGAAAATGATATGATTAATTATGCAACGAGTACTTTAGTTTGAGTGTCAGCTTACTTGCTACTGTAAATCACACACTGACATTCTGGTCTTTTACACCATTCCATGAGAGCAGTTATTATGACCCACAATAAGAGATGGCTCCAGGAATCAGGTTTTGAAGCTGAAAGCCAGATCTTGGATCTTGGAACGTTCACCCTTATATATACCAGTGTATGTTGCTTGTTGGAGTGGCCTCTTGGTATACACCCAGATGACTTCTTGCAAAACTGCAACCATGTATATGCATTGTGTTTAAAAAATCAATAGTTTACTCAGTAAACCATTTCAACTGAGAGCTTTTAAGAAAGCCTATGATGCATGGTAATTATGTATGAATGGCAGTCTCTTTAGCTGTTGGTGATGTTTCTGCATCTGTCTGTGAGTTTGAGGGCCCAATTTATACACTAAAGATACGCCTTGGAAAATTACTAAGTAACTATCTTTGGTCAAATCTTTAATGCAAGTTTTAAATTCTTATATATTACAGAATTTCACAAACTTGTTTGGACAGCCACTAGTCTGCTTGCTTTCTCCTACAGCGTATCCAAAAGCTTTACAAGGTATGTACCCTCATTGCCTGTTACAACCATAGGTTGCAAATAAACACTGTGTTCATTATGAATAGTACTGATCTTTGTTTTTTCCTCCCATAATGATCATGTGTGGATTTATGTTCTTTAATATGGCAGGTGTTGCTCTGAAATATACCCAGAAGCCTTGCCAACAACCGAGGTCCCTTAATGTGCTATCATTAGGCCTTGAGATAACTCATCTCTAAGAAAGAAGTAGTTTTCTTCCTTGCTTATGGGGAACTCATGATTTGTAAATTTTAAAGTTTGTTTTACAGGTTTTTGTTTTGATTTGCTGATCATATCCATATAGCATGGTTTTCCTATATCTTTGCAGGCATCTTTTAAGACTACAAGATTGCTGGTCTAGGAAACTTCTCAGTCTATGCCTCAGAGTTAGGATAACGTAACTGGCACAACTTAAAGTGTTTCTTTTATTCACATTTTTACCTTGTCTTAATTTTAAAATAAAAGAACCTCTTCTAAGTCTGCCAGAGAGACAGGTTAGTGTTTTGGCCATTTCTTCAATGGCTGAGAATCAAGACTTTTTGTCCTTAATGATTTGTCTTTAATTGGTGACACATAAAATCTAATTCTAACTCCCAGTCATTTAGTAGGTAAAATACTAAACAACCTTAACACTGTTTTAGCAGTACTTGTCACTGTTTCACTATCTCCCTAACTGTGAATAGTGCTGATGTCTCTCTGTGGGAGATGGCATTTTACTGCTACTTCCCAGCCAGAAGTCCTGTCTGCTGACATAGTTTGACACAGGAAGTGATGGTCAGCATTTGAATGCCTGAGAGAAGCTGGAGGCTTTCACCGTTGTTTTAAGGTAAGTTCTGCTGTTTAACAGGGAAAACATGTAGAAATATTAACTTCATGTATCCAAAAGTAAAATTACTAAGGGATAGAACTTACCTTCAAACAACGGTAAAATTCTCCTGCTTTGAAGATTTTGTTCTCCTGTTTCTTATCATTTCTGGAGGAATGTGATCCCTTTCAGTTACTCAGCAGTAATTGCTACCAATCTGTCCTATCATTATGTAGTTTTATTTAAATTTGCATGGTCAAATGGGTTAATACTAAGACTATTTGGTCTGAAGGACTTCATTTTATAGAAGAGAAAAACACAGACTTTGGAGGTAAACTGACTGAATTTGAATCCCGAGTCAGCCACTTATTTGCTTTGTGACCTTGGAAAGTTATTCAGCCATTCTTTGCCTGAATAATCTATCAAATGGAAATAATAATAGTATCTGCCTTATAGAATAATGCTGGGTATGTAGTAACTACTCAATATGTGCTCTCATTATTAATGCTTAGTTGTAATACATGTCCTTAACACATTTTGACCCAGTCTCTTATCTTTGTGCTATAAAGCTTAGACCTCTAACACCTTAAATTATTGTTCAATTACAAAAGCAGATTCAGAATTCTTTTGTGAGAAATATTTTGGATTTATCCATAGGCATTATTGCTACTCACCTCTGCAAAAGGGGTGGGTGCTCAATGTAGGTGCAAAACTAGCTGATCTGTAAGCACTTTGAGATCTAAAGCCTACAGTTCTCTCATTAGCCAAGAGTTACTTCATTTATTCAACTTTTTGTTTGTTTGTTTGAGATGGGGTCTCATTCTGTTGCTCAGGCTGGAGTGCAGTGGTGTGATCACAGCTCACTGCAGCCTCTACCTCCTGGACTCAGGTGATCCTCCCACTTCAGCCTCCCAAGTAGCTGGGACTAAAGGTACACACCACCACACCCAGCTAATTTTTGTATTTTTTTTGTAGGGACCAGGTCTTACCATATTGCCTAGGCTGTTGTCAAACTCCTGGGCTCGAGAGATCTGCCTGCCTTGGCCTCCCAAAGTGCTATTCAACATTTATTATCAGGTATTATGCTAGCACTAGAGATAGCACTGTGACCTGACAATCACAGTTATGCTCTTCACAGAGCCAAATGTCTAGTGGCAGGTAGAGACAACCTGATGGGCAGTTATAATAAGTGATTCACAGGAGGATGCATGCAAATGGATGAGGAACTCCTGACTAGCAACACACTGAGGACGAGGGAAGGGGATGAGATGATGTCTAACATGGACATTAAGAACATGGAGACCTAGATAGGGTTGGGAAATGACTGAGCAAGAGTGTTCCAGCACGTGCTGTGGCCATGAAATAAGACAGCTTAGGGAGCATGTAGAGAAATTTATTTTATTTTTTTATTTTTTGAGATGAAGTCTCGCTCTGTCTACCAGCCCGGAGAGCAGTGGCACGATCTTGGCTCACTGCAACCTCCGCCTCCCAGGTTCAGGTGATTCTCCTGCCTCAACCTCCCAAGTAGCTGGGATTACAGGTGCATACCACCATGCCCGGCCAATTTTTTTGTATTTTTAGTGGATATGGGGTTTCACTATGTTGGCTAGGTTGGTCTCGAACTCCTGACTTTGTGATCTGCCTGCCTTGACCTTCCAAAGTGCTGGGATTACAGGTGTGAGCCACCGCACGTGGCCTAATTTTGTATTTTCAGTAGAAACAGGCCTGACATCAAGTGATCTGCTCACCTTGGCCTCCCAAAGTGCTGGGATTATAGGTGTGAGCCACTGTGCCTGGCTGAGCATATAGAGAAATTAAAGTAATTCCTCCTAGCTAAAGGGTAGAGTTTGAGATTGTGTGATTGAATTATGAAAGAACTTCTAAGATTTGTTAAATGATTTAAGTGGAAGACAATGGGGTACGGGTTGAGTATCCTTAATCGTAAAATCTGAAATGCTTCAAAATTCAGAAGTTTGAGTAGCAATATGACATTGAAAGTGAAAAATTCCACATATCAGTACTTAGCACAAGGTTTGTTTCATGTACAAAATTATTTAAAATATTATATAAAATTACCTTTAGGTTATGTGTATAAGGTACCTATGAAACATAGATAAACTTCGTGTTTAGACTTGGGATCTGTCCCCCGAATATCTCATTATGTATATGCAAATATTCCAAAATCCCAAAAAATCCAAAATCCAAAACAATTCTGGCCCCAAGCATTTTGGATAAGGGGTACTCAGCTGATACCATCACAAGGTTTAAACAGATGAGTAGCATGAAAGAGCATTCAGTTAACCTCTTAGAGAATAAACTGGGGAGCGGCATGGATGAACATAGGGAGATGGCTGAATGTAGCACAGTGCCTATGTAGCCGGCTGCAAAAGATACTGAGCCCATAAAACCAACAGGACTTTGTGATGAACTAGGTGTGGGGAGGGAAGGCAGGAATAGACTTCCAGGTTTCTGGCTGAGTTGCTGGTAGAAATGATAATACTTGTTGAGAAACATATTTGTAGAGAACAAAAGGGGAAAGAATTTGCTTTGAGTTGTTGACATGTTGAGTTTGAGGTGCCTTTGAGAGTTAGGTTGATTATAGTAGCCTAGAGCAGCAGTACATAACTAGAGTGTGAGTCACCTAAGAAATGGAGTGTGAGTCATTAAATTTTCTAATACCTATGTCAAAAACAGTAAAAAGAAACCGGTGAAATCAGTGTTAACAGTGATATTTTGTATTAAGGCTTTGAAATCCAGTGTGTATTTTACCTATCTAGTCACATTGTGAATGTTCAGTATCTATTGCAGGACAGAGCAGTGCTAGACCTACGGAATTCAATTTAGGCTGCTGATAGAGAATTGGAAACTAGTAGGCATATAAATGTTGACTAAAATCATGGGAGTAAGAGCAGTCAGTGGTGTATGGGACCAAAGAAAGAAACTACTCATATTTAAGGGACAGGAAGGGAAAGAGCAACTCACAGAGAGCAACTCAGTGGAGAATCAAAAAGACTGGCATTTCTAGCACTCATCAGAGAATTCTGTCACAGATAACCCATGATCCAACACTTGCCATTCTTGGATGAAATTTGTTAATTGAGGGTAGAAAATGGTAAGAAATATGTTCATTTTCCATGTCTCTTAAGTTTGCTAGGCTCTTCCTTAATTTTGTTCAGCAGAAAGCAACATACCAATGGTGTGTTTTTGTAGTTTCATGAAGAATCTGCTTTGTTGAATTATGATTTAGTGATATAGCTTTAATTTTATATATTATCAATATATTAAAATGTTCCTCATGTGTATCTCTTATCTTTTGCAAAACTACTGTCTATATATATAATAACATGTTTGTTATTACAGATCAATCTCAGCGAGGTAGCCTCTTCACTCTCTTTTTGAACAATCCTCTAATGGCCTTCCTATTTGTCTCTGGATTGTCAAGCATGCGCAGAGGTCTATGGGAAAAGTGTCAAGAATATCTTCGAAAAATCAACCGTGATATTGCCCAGCTTCTGACCCATTCACGTTCAATAGGTACCCTCTTAATCTAACTGCACACTTAACAGAATGTATTATCATGGCTTAAAATGGTTACTTATTTTAAATTGTTTGAATTTTTAAAGGTATGTGTCCCAGGCAGGAAAGTTGAGAAGGCTTTCCTGAAGTTTCCTTACCCTTTGAAACGTAATTTCCATTTAAGCATCTTTTTACTGTCACTTTTCTCCTCTTTGCAGATCAGGCATTTCTCCAGTTTTTTGGAGATGAATTTCTTCGCTTGCTCCTCACAAGATTTATCTTTTGTTCAGCCACCATGAGGATGCATAAAATTTTTCGGGTAGGCAAAGAACATTATTAAAGATGAATTTTATCATTTTAGGTATTAAGAACCATGTATTATATTTTGCCTGTATAAAATAAGGTTTGGATAAATTCAAAATAATATTTACAAATGTACTGTCACACTGGTCTGTTAAGTAAAAAAATACGTATTCACAAATGAAGATGTAAAGTATAAACATTGACCATATTAAGCCACATCTGAGTACCTATCCTTTGTTTAAAAGTAGAACATTTAAGGCCGGGCGCAGTGGCTCAAGCCTGTAATCCCAGCACTTTGGGAGGCCGAGGCGGGTGGATCACAAGGTCAAGAGATCGAGACCATCCTGGTCAACATGGTGAAACCCCGTCTCTACTAAAAATACAAAAAAAATTAGCTGGGCATGGTGGCGTGTGCCTGTAATCCCAGCTACTCAGGAGGCTGAGGCAGGAGAATTGCCTGAACCCAGGAGGCGGAGGTTGCGGTGAGCCGAGATCGCGCCATTGCACTCCAGCCTGGGTAACATGAGTGAAACTCTGTCTCAAAAAAAAAAAAGTAGAACATTTTCTGGCCGGGTGTGGTGGCTTCTGCTTGTAATCCCAGCACTTTGGGAGGCCAAGGCTGGTGGATGGCTTGAGGTCATGAGTTCGAGACCAGCCTGCCAACATACTAAAACCCCTTCTCTACTAAAAATAAAATTAGCCAGGTATGGTGGCAGGTACCTGTAATCCCAGCTATTCTGGAGGCTGAGGCAGGAGAATTGCTTGAACCCAGGAGGCAGAGGTTGAGTGAGCCAAGATCACGCCATTGCACTCCAGCCTGGGTGACCAGAGCAAAATTCCATCTCAAAAAAAAAAAAGTAGAACATTTTCAATACCTCTCTGATCCTATCTTCCTCTTGAATGAAACTCACTTACTGAATTTTATTGATTGATTGATTGGTTGGTTGATTTTGAGACGGAGTCATGTTAATGTCTATAACTTTCATTCATTCATTTTGTTTGACCATACAACACTAAGTATTATTTGACTATATATTGCAAATTACTTCTTCATTATGCTGATAATGGACATTTGGGTTGTTTCCAAGGTTTTATTATTATATAAATGATGCTGGCCATGTGCGGTGGCTCACACCTGTAATCCCAGCACTTTGCGAGGCTGAGGCAGGCAGATCACAAGGACAGGAGTTCAAGACCAGCCTGGCCAACATGATGAAATCCGGTCTCTAATAAAAATACAAAAATTAGCCAGGAGTGGTGGCACGCACCTGTAATCCCAGCTACTCAGAAGCCTGAGGCAGGAGAATTGCTTGAGCCCAGGAGGCAGAGGTTGCAGTTAGCCGAGATTGTGCCACTGCACACCAGCCTGGGTGACAGAGCAAGACTCAGTCTCAGAAAAAAAGAAAAAAAATGGGGCCAGGCAGGGTGGCTTATGCCTGTAATCCCAGCACTTTGAGAGGCCAAAGTGGGCAGATCACCTGAGGTTGGGAGTTCGAGACCAGCCTGACCAACATGGTGAAACCGTGTCTCTACTAAAAATACAAAATTAGCTGGGCGTGGCGGCACATGCCTGTAGTCCCAGCTACTTGGGAGGCTGAGGCAGGAGAATTGCTTGAACCTGGGAGGCACCGGCTGAGGTAAGCCGAGATCGTGCCATTGCATTCCAGCCTGGGCAACAAGAGTGATACCCTGACTCAAAATAAAAGTGATACCACTGTGAAATTCTTGTATAAGTTTCCTGGTACACATATATAAGATTTTCTCTGAATAATATACCTAATAGTAGAATTGCAAGATCAGCGGATATAAGCATATTTAACTTTGCTAGATAATGCCAGACTGTTTTCCAAAGCGGTGAATCAGTATATACTCATCCTAGCAGGATGTAAGTGTTGTTATTTCTGTAATCTCTCCTTTCCAACACTTGTTGCAGTCATACTTTATAGTTTTTGTGACTCTGGTGAGTGTAAAGTGGTAGGTAATTGTGGTTTTAATTTTTATTTCCAGGATTACTGTTGAGGTTGAGCAACTTCTCACGTGTTCTTCTTTTTTTTCTTTTTTTTTTTTGTAAAGAATGTGTTCAAGTCTTTTGCTTGACTTGATAATCCACTTTGCTAGCTGTTGCTTTTTTGTGTATGCATGTACCTATACAATACTTCTTTGAGGTTTTAAATATTTTAGCCATTATATTTTTCACTTCTGTAAGTAACATTTTTTTCAAATATGACTGAACATTTAAAAAATATTTTGCAGCTTTTGATTTCAAAGTATTTTTTTTTCTATTTTATCATGATAATTTTAAAATGTAAAAGAACTATGCAATGGGCCAGGCGCAGTGGCTCACACCTATAATCTCAGCACTTTGGGATGCCAAGACACTTCAGGCTAGGAATTTGAGACCAGCCTGGGCGACATAGTGAGAACTCGTTTCTATAAAGAAATTTTTAAAATTAGTCAGGTGTAATGGTATGTGCCTGTAGTCTCCCTTCAGGAGGCTAAGGTGGAAGAATTGCTTGAGCCCAGGAGTTTGAGATGGCAGTGAGCTCTGATTGTGCCATTGCATGGGCCAACTGGGCAGGTCCACTTAGACACAATTTTTAAAAAATAAATATATTGGAAAAATTTTAGAGATTTGCAATAATTTGAAAAACAAATGAGCTGCATAGCCTAGAAATGTTGAAAACATTGCTCATCCGGGCCCCACGGCCAGCAGAGTTGGCCCCACTCTGTGGCCACCGGGGCCTGTGCACCGGAATCGCCGTGGCCTGTGCACCCCGCCTCACCAGTTTGAACCTCCATGGCCTCAACCAGATTTGGAATGTCAAAAGCAGAGTGTTTATTTGAGGAGTTTGAGGAAATCGGGAACTTTGGGCCACTCAGGCTCTCTAGATGAGACCACCCATGAAAGACTAGCAGAGGAAATGCTAGACTCCTTAACAGAGTTTTCGAAGACCTTGCGGACAAGCCATACATGTTTTTTAAGGACTATGATGTTTTCTTTGGGAGTGGCATCTTAACTGCTAAACTGGGTAGAGATCCAGGAACCTACGTGATCAATAAGCAGACACTAAACAAGCAAATCTGGTTATCTTTTCCATCCTGTGGACCCAAGTGTTATGACTGGACTGGGGAAAACTGGGTGTACTCCCACTATGGTGATGGCACGTCCCTCCATGAGCTGCTGGCTGCACAGCTCATTAAAGCCTTAAAAATCAAACTGGACTTGTCTTCCTTGGCCTATTCCAGGAAAGACTCATGTTGCCCAGCCCAGTTTTAAGGACATTAAAAGCTGTCATACAAAGACCCCAGCTTCATTATGCAGCTGAGGTCTGTTGTTTTTTTTTTTTTCATTCCTGCTTTTGAGGACAGTTCGGCTATGTGTAACAGCTCTGTGGAAAGAGTATGTTGCCTCCTACCTTGCCGCCACGTTCTGATTTTTAATTTCTATGGGAGATTTTTTTGGATTCACTGATTTCCTCCCTCACATGATATCCCTTATATTTTATAATATCTTATGCCTATACCTAAATATAACAACCTTTAAAAAAGCAAAATGATAAGAAGAAAAAATTCCAGGAGAAATGAATTGTTTTCACTCTTGATTCTTTGAAGGATTTACTACAAGAAGTACATGATGAGCAGCTCGTCAACCTGCTCACTGTTCTGTCTCAAAATGAGACACGTTAAAGGGGAGCCTACAAATGTTCCTGGGCTTCTTTCAAAGTGTGAGCACTTCTGAGCTCTTTAGTATTGAAGTGTCGAAAGCAACTCACATGGGAAGACCATTTCTTATTTGTGCTTTGTGACTGCCAGGGCGTGGCCTGCACTGGGTTGTCCAGGGAGACCTAGTGCTGTTTCTTCTACATAATCATTTGCATGCGCATGTGCACGCACACGCATGTTTGTATACATATTTTTTCAATTTAAGGGTTAGTACGGAATCAGCTGCTACAAGAATGCAAAAAATCTTCCAAAGACAGGAAAGGAGGAAAAAAAGCCATTTTCATGAGCTGAGTGCTGTAGCATAATAAAATCATGGAGCTGAGGAGGTGCTTTGTAAATGTGAAGGCATGTATAAAGAGATACTCATGCTCATGTTGATAAAAAGAGCCCTGGTCCTAGACATAGTTCAGTCACAAAGTAGTTGTTTCTTTGTGGACAAGTTTTCCAAACTCCCTGGACCTCTGCTTTCCCCACTGTTAATTGGGAGGATAGAGTATGGTTGATTCATAGCATTCAGTGGTCCTGCCAAGCAGCCTAACAGGCTACCTTTAATTCTCATTGGGTAGATGAGGGGATGACAAAGAACAGTGTTAAAGCTATATGGGAAACATTGTTATTGGTGTTGCCCTATCCGGATTTCAGTTGAATTCATGTAAAAATAATAGTCATCCTTTATTGTACCCTTATTGGGTTAAGCACATTATACCATATTACTGCATTTTAATTTTTACTGACCTGCACTTTTTATATGAAGCAACAAGGCCCCAGGACATGAAAACTCATACAAAGTTATGCTCATGTGATACTATTTTCTTACTTAAAGAAGGATTTATTAGTGACAAGTTTGTATTAATTTGTAGCAAAGGCTTTTCTAATGGGTGAATAAAAACACATTCCATTATAGTAAAAAACAAAAACAAAAACTCAAGCTGGGAGCAGTGGCGTATACCTACAGTCCTAGCTATTCAGGAGGCTGAGACAGGAGGATTGCTTGAAGCCAGGAATTGGAGATCAGCCTGGAAAACATAGCAAGATCCTAGCTCTTAAAAAAACACCCAAAAAAAAGGCCGGGCGCGGTGGCTCAAGCCTGTAATCCCAGCATGTTGGGAGGCTGAGGCGAGTGGATCAGGAGGTCAAGAGATCGAAACCATCCTGGCCGGAATGGCGAAACCCCATCTCTACTAAAAAATACAAAAATTAGCTGGGCGTGGTGGCGCACACCTGTAGTCCCAGCTAATTGGGAGGCTGAGGCAGGAGAATTGCTTGAACCAAGGAGGCGGAGGTTGCAGTGAGCCGAGATTGTGCCACTGCACTCCAGCCTGGCGCCTGGTGACAGAGCAAGACTCTGTCTCAAAAACAAAACAAAACAAAACAAAACAACCCAAAACACACACACACACACACACACACACACACACACAAAGTCTTAATAATAAAACAGTATATATAAACAAAAACTAAATAACTAAAATATTTTCTTTCTTCTGAAGTCAAATTATTTTTTGAGTCTGATGGAAATGTTTAAGTGCAGTAGGCCAGTACATGAGAAAATAAATAAAATATTACCAAAAAAAAGAAATATTCAAAAAATTAAGAAAAACATATGTCATGAATACATAAAATATATGGAGACAGTAACCTATTTTATTATTTACTACTATAAAATATGTACAGATCTATTATTAATGATTATAATTTATGCACACACTTACAGACCATATGTGGTACCATTCACATTCCAGAGAAATGTAAACAAAAGTAATGATGCAATATTAAATCATAACTACATAAAATTACTGTAGTGCCTAATGTACTACTGTAATAATTTTGTAGCCACATCCTGTTGCTCTGGCAGTGAGCTCAAGTATTACAAGTACTGCTTAAAATGCATATCATCTCCATGAGCAGTTTGTCTCTCCAGTAAATTGTGTATTGTAATAAAAAGTGATCTCTCGCAGTTCTTGCATATTTTTAATTGTGTTTAGTGCAGTACTATAAATATTGCATAATACCATGAGACCCATACGAAGTGATGCATCAAGTGCTCCCAAGAAGCAAAGAAAAGTCATGACATTACTGGAAAAAGTTGAATTGCTGGATATGTACCATAGATCAAGGTTTGCCATTGTGGTTGCCTGCCATTTCAAGATAAATTCACCCAGTAAGGAATATTGTAAAAAAAGAAACGTAAATTTGTGAAACCACCCCAGCAGGCATGAAAACCTTGCACTTTTTGTGAAATATCTTTTTATCTCATAACGAAAATGTAGCGTTTATGTGGGTGCAAGGTTACTATAAGACGTACTTATAGGCCGGGCGTGGTGAGTCATGCCTGTAATCCCAGCACTTCAGGAGGCTGAGGTGGGTGGACCACCTGAGGTCACCTGAGATCACAGGAGTTCAAGACCAGCCTGACCAATATGGTGGAAGCTTGTCTCTACTAAAAATACAAAAAATAGTTGGGCATGGTGGTGTGTCTTTGTAGTCCCAGATACTTGGAAGGCTAAGACAGGAGCAATTCTTGAACTCAGGAGGTGGAGGTTGCAGTGAGCTGAGATCATGCCACTGCACTCCAGTCTGGGTGACAGAGCAAGACTCCATCTAAAATAAAAAAATATATAGATATTATGATTTGAGAAAAAGCTAACTCATTATATAATAATTTGAAGCAAAAGGAAAGCGAAGGATCCAAAGCTGGAGAATTAAATTCTGGCAAAAAATGGTTTGATAATTTTCGGAGGCACTTTGGCTTTAAAAATGTTAAGATAACATGAGAAGCAGCGTCTGCCAACCAAGAGGCAGCAGACATTCCCAGGTGCCATGGAAGAGAAAAGATACCTGTCTGAACAAGTTTTTAGTGCAGAAGATAGTACGCTTTTCAGGAAAAAACTGCCGCAAAGGAGGTTTATTAGTAAGGAAGAGAAGTGAACACCAGGATGTAAAGCAGGAAGGGATAGACAACTCTGTTATTTTGTGCATATGCACTTGGATTTATGATCAAGACAGTCCTTATCTATAAAGCTGCTAATGCACCTTGAGAGAAAAGGTAAACACCAGCTGCCAGTACAACAAGAAGGTCTCAACATGGTCGAGCGTGGTGGCTCAAGCCTGTAATTCCAGCACTTTGGGAGACCAAGGCAGACAGATCATGAAGTCAAGAGATGAGACCATCCTAGCCAACATGGTGAAATCCTGTCTCTACTAAAAATTAGCTGGGCGTGGTGGCATGCACCTGTAGTCCCAGCTACTTGGGAGGCTGAGGCAGGAGAATTACTTGAACCCAGGAATCGGAGGTTGCAGTGAGCCAAGATTGCACCACTGCACTCTGGCCTGGCAACAGAATGAAATTCTGTCTCAAAAAAAAAAAAAAAAGGTCTGGACAACAGGAACTTTTTTCCAGATGGGTTTTGTTGATGCTGTGTCCCTGAAATCAGGAAGTATCTTGCCAGTAAGGGACTACCTTTTAAAGTTGTTTTCATTCTTGACAATGCCTCTGGCTGGCTATCTAGAACCCCATTAATTCAATACTGAAGGTGTCAAAGTGGCCCCAAACACAATGTCAGCCTCTAGATCAGGGGGTCATAAAGACTTTTAAGGTTCATTGCACAGAGTACTCTATGGAAAGTGTTACCAAAACTATGGGAGAGAACCCCCAATGAAGAGAAATCATGAAAGCTTGAAAGGATTCCACCATTGGAAATGCCATCGTTATTATAGAAAAAGCCTTGAAAGCCATCAAGCCTGAAACAATAAATTCCTGCTGGAGAAAACTGTGTCTAGATGTTGTACATGACTTCAAAGGATTTGTGACAGTCTAGGAAATCATGAAAGAGATTGTCGATGTGAAGAAAGGGTTTCAAGATACAGATCTTGGAGAAGTTCAAAAGCTAATAGACACCACACCAGAAGAATTAACAGAAGATGACTTGGGGTGGATATGAATGTTTCTGAACCAGTGCCAGGAAGAAGACATAGAAAAAGCAGTGGAAGAAAACAAATTGACATTAGACAATCCAGCAGAAGGGCTTAGATTATTCAGGATTGGACTTTTGACTTCTATGACATGGATGCTTCTATGATAATGGGCACTGATAGGAAAGTAAATAGTGGAAGGATTGGTGCCATATAGAAACATTTTAGAGAAATGAAAAAGCAAAAATATCAGACACAAATTTTGATGTATTTGCATAAAATTACACCCAGTTGCCTGTCTCTGCCGCCTCCCCCTCCACCTCTGCCCCCTCTCCTCTCTGCCACGCCTGAGACAGCAGGACCAACCCCTCCTCCTCCTCCTCCTCCACAGCCTACTCAATGTGAAGGCAATGAGGATGAAGACCTTTGTGATAATCCACTTCCATTTAATGAATAGTAAATATATTTTCTCTTCCTTATGATTTTCTTTTTTGTTTTTTGTTTGTTTGTTTGTTTGTTTGTTTAAGACATAGTCTTGCTCTGTCACCTCAGCTGGAGTGCAGTGGCGCCATCTCGGCTCACTGTAACCTCCGACTCCCTGGTTCAAGGGATTCTCCTTCCTCAGCCTCCTGAGTAGCTGGGACTACAGGCATGTGCCACCATACCCAGCTAATTTTTGTATTTTTAGTAGAGACGGGGTTTCACCATGTTGGCCAGGATGGTCTTGATCACCTGACCTCGTGATCCACCTGCCTCAGCCTCCCAAAGTGCTGGGATTACAGGCATGAGCCACTGTGCCCCCCCCCCACCCCCCCCCCCCCCCCCCTTTTTTTTTTTTTTTGAGACAGAGCCTTGCTCTGTTACCATCAGGCTGGAGTGCAATGGCGCCATCTCGGCTCACTGCAACCTCCACCTCCTGTGTTCAAGCAATTATCCTGCCTCAGCCTTCCAAGTAGCTGGGATTACAGGCACGCGCCACCATGCCCAGCTAATTTTTGTATTTTTAGTAGAGACAAGGTTTCACCATATTGGCCAGGCTGCTTTCAAACTCCTGACCTTTCAAACTCCTGACCTCAGGTGATCGACCCACCTCGGCCTCCCAAAGTGCTGGGATTACAGGCATGAACCACCGCACAGCCCCATCTTATTTTTTAATGCATTTTGAAGTGAATTGTGGACGTCACCCACAAACACTTTATCATGCATATATATATAATGTTTACTTTTTTTTTTTCTTTTAGTTGCATTTATTTTAAGGCTGAATTTACTCCCGTGCCGTAAGTTTTTGTTTCTTCAGTTTCTTCTGGGATATCTTCTTCTTCTGGGCAACCTACTCTTCTGGTTTAGGAACAATCTGTTCCTTTTCAGTAAGGATCATCTCAATGTGGCAGGGAGAACTCATGTATGGGTTAATTCAACCGTGAGCTCTGTAGGTCCGGCAGCACATCTTGGGTGCTTTGTTCACTTGGATATGCTCAATGACCAGAGCATCTACATCTAAACCCTTAAGTTCAGCATTACTCTCTGCATTTTTAAGCATGTGCAGGAAAAATTCAGCACTCTTTTTGGGCCACTAACCTTGTGTCCAGCCCTACTGCTTGCCCTGGGCACACCGCCAACTCCACCATTGTAACGTCGGAATGGTACGCACTTTTTCTGTAAAGTGACATCTTTCAGATACTTCGTGGCTTTTCGTATATGCATACCCTTGATGGCCTGGGCAGTTTCACGTGTGTTCTTAAAGTGAACATGAAGATTGGAACCTATTGATTTGCATGATTTTGTGGGGTTCTCTGGATCGAGTGAATAGCGAACCATTTTCACAGATTACCTCAGGCAGCTTAGGGAAAGAGCGTTTACTTTTTTTTTTTTTAATGAGATCTTCCTATGGGCACTTCTGGATTCAAGCTGTCCTCTCACCTCAGCATCCCACATTGCTGGAACTATAGGCACATTGCCACTGTGCCCAACTACTAATTTTTTCTTTTTAATT